GAGAACAAACGCAAATCGTACCTTGAAGTTTTCATCGGGATGGTTTTGATCTCCCATGCAATCCTCGCGGACTCAAAAACTGCCGTCACAAATAAATGTGGCCTTTTAAACTAACTGCATACGATGGGTCCGTGAGAGGAGATAGGCAAATGAGGCCAGAAGACGAAGGAATAGAGCTGCTAACGTCCTGTCCATCCTAAGATCTCCATAGAGCCAACGGCCTTCCGCGGTCAGTATTGGCTTTGTGGGACAGTTTTAAATAGACAAGAGCAACAATAAATAAAGCATAAAAAACGGTTTTTCAAAGAGCTTTTTAGTGTTTGCATTACGGATGAATATTCCGAGTTCGGAATGCTAATAACTCTGGAGCCAAGTGACCTTTATTTACAGAAAAAGCCACGACAAACAGTTCGTGAAATCGCGTCAACACCCGTGGTCTTTGTAGCTACATCATCATCATCATCATCATCATCATCATCATCATCATCATCATCATCATCATCATCATCATCATCATCATCATCATCATCATCATCATCATCATCATCATCATCATCATCATCATCATCATCATCATCATCATCATCATCATCATCATCATCATCATCAATGAAGCCAGCGAGAGCTCATTACAAGCCTGCACCCTACACCTTTTCCAAGGCAGAGAGCCAATGAAAAACAACAAATGTGATTTGTTTGCTTTTGGAGGTTCATATGTAGAAAGGTCATATAGACTTGATGCTCTCACCCTGGTTCAAAGAAATTCTCTTGAAGACGGCATTTAAAATTAAGATATGGTTAATAGGATTGGCAATGCATATGTAGATCCCTTTTTCAAAAATAGCCGTATCTTACATCTCTGTGGGCGCCTACGTAAGATACCAGGACCTCACGCTATCACATATTACCCGAATAAAATTCACGGAATGGAAAAGAAAACTGACGCTCACTGCACCTGTAGGTACAGTATTCACAAAACGATTAGGTCATAAGTGTAAGTCAAGGTTTGCAGAAGAACTGAGAATGTACCAGTTGGTGCCACTTTCCTAGATGCAGCTGCAGCCATTTCGAGGCAGTAACCTTGTACAGAGCTCGGCTCATGCTTGTGTCCCTACGCTTCTCGATAGTCATAATGAAAATCCGTTTTTGATCTTTCGGCTTGAATTCAAAGAAAGGCGCGCCAATTAGTATTCGGGCTGGAAGCTTGGAAATATTTTTCCTTAGTTTATTTTACACTCAATTCAAATAGTCAGTTTCTTGTAATCTTTAAAATCTTTCACTTTGTTTGTCAATGCATTTGGGTTGAATTGAAAGCAGGCATAGACAGCAGAATTTATTGGAACCAGTGAATTTCGAGACGGCTTATCAACTGCAGCCTGTCGTTTCATAACACAGACAACAAGTGAGAAAGGTAGAGAGGTTAGAACGTCCAGAGAGGAAATAAATATAAAACAACAACGTCATCGTATACTGCAGGTAGACTAATCAATAAAATGGTAACTTGAAAAACGCTACATAGGAAAGAAAACAGGAAAGTTAACACGCAGAGGGACTTCGCAAGTCAAAAGGACGCAGATTAACCATGGCAAGCTGAGGTTGACCACGTGGTCTAACTGTTTACATAGGTCGGGTTTCTCCCGCCGTAAATAGGCTGCCTCTCAGGTAGCACAGTAACCGAGTAGTTCGTGCTCGAACTAATACTCGAAAAGATGTTTTGAGGTCAAGCGAATGACCGCTATCAAGGAGGTGCTTTGTAATAGAAGACCGTGGAATTTTATTCTCCTGCTTAACTGGCTTCTAAAGCACCTCCTTGATAGCGGTCATTCGCTTGACCTCAAAACATCTTTTCGAGTATTAGTTCGAGCACGAACTACTCGGTTACTGCGCTACCTGGGAGGCGGCCTATATACGACGGGAGAAACCCGACCTATGTAAACAGTTAGACCACGTGGTCAACCTCAGCTTGCCATGGTTAATCTGCGTCCTTTTGACTTGCGAAATTCTTCTGCGTGTTAACTTCCTCGTTTTCTTTCCTTTGTAGCATTTTTTAAGTTACCATTTTATTGATTAGTCTACGTGCAGTATGCGATGACGTTGTTGTTTTATATTGATTTCCTCTATGGACGTTCTAACCTCTCTACCTTTCTCACTTGTTGTCCGTGTTATGAAACGACAGGCTGCAGTTGATAAGCCGTCGCGATATTCACTGGTTCCAATAAATTCTGCTGTCTATGCCTGCTTTAAATGCATTCCGGGGAAATACTGTTTCAGGCATTTGGGTTACTTAAGCCGTCCTAGTGCCCTTTGTAAATTTTTCATGCTTTTGTTGGACCTTTTGATTGAAGCCTACGTTTTTTGCATTTTACGCGATATTTTGCCTTCAGTGGCCTTGTGCTTTGCGCCTGTGCCGCTTTTTTCAACTTTTTTTTACGGCTGTGCAGGCAGTCTGACCACATCGTAGTCTTCCGCTCTCGCGCTTCTGTTATGCGCTCCAGTCTTTATTTCGTCCCTAGGAGTCCCATCAAATTTTCCGTGAATGTTGTGTAAATTTCAACTGCAAATGCTCAGGCATTTTAAAATGATACAGGTATTGGACATCAAGTCTGTTTTTACCAATTGTAGAAGCTTAGGGACTCAGCGGCGCTCGTAAAGCTCTCGAGGAGGAATAAAAGTACCACCGAAAGTTTTTTACTGGTAGTGCCTACCTCCAAAAAATCAAGAATACTTGGGCAATCTCATGCCCACGGAATTTTTCTAAAACTGCAATTGAAAGTGTTAAGAATGCTGCATTGCATTCTGCTTTGACAGATAGGAGATAAAAAGTTTGATAAACGTTCCTCGCGCATTTAAACAAAACAGAATGCTTTATGTTTGCGAAAATTCCCATTGAAAAATTCAAAAGGCAATTTGGCGAGCATACGTCTGCTTTCGATAAATTCTCTTCAGCCCTGTACATTTATATGGCTATTGAAGTAATGAATTAAAAGTTACGGGAAAGTAGATAATTATGCTGCAGCTTGGGTTTGGGGAGGAGAGGGGAGGGGAGGGAGAGAGTGAAACCACAATCCCAGTCAGCGCCAGGGAGAAGGTGGGTCCCAGCGAAGGTAATCCATATGCGGATAGCTGGTTTGGTGGCTTTGAGCCATGGCAACCGTGGGACCTGCGTGAAGTTCTTCTGTGCGCATAGGACAGGTTCGCGTAGACTGATTGCCCGTACCTTTTAATTCATTTTTTCAGTAGCCATATAAATGTACAGGCCTGAATAGAATTTATCGAAAGCAGACGTATGCTCGCCACATTGCCTTTAGAATGTTTTATATATGTAGAACGGATAGTCTTCTGCTGGAAGGTTGACAGTTTTGCCTTCTAAAACAAAAAAACTCTAGAAATCAGTTGCATTGAAAAAATTGGATAGAAAAAATTAAGGTATGCAGATTTAACTAGTCATACCAGAGACACTTGAGCATTTGATGAAAATTTCCTAGATAACAAAGGAAAGCCCACCACAAAGGATATTTCTTAACCAGCGTTACGAAAGGTGTCGTCCCAATCTCCGAACGGACAAGTGCAAAGTAAAGTTACGTGCTTATCACTGTAATGTTGAAATTAAGGCTTAAAAGGCAAACTATTTAAATGAACCCCCATCATGGACAGATCGCTCAGACGTAGATTCGTATGCCTGGTTGAATTTATTGCAGCCCTTTATAGACCGAAATGCTCTTACATACTTTTGCGGCCCAGCATTGAAGAAAAGTAACAGGCCTCTAAAAAACAGGAAAAAAACCGATTCAAAAGAGCAAGCTTGACAGTTGGACATAAATGGGAAGTATACGACGGTGTAAATCACAGAAACCATAAAAAACAAAAGGCACCAAAGTGGTAAAAAACAGAAGATGAGAAAAGACCCTGTATGTATTATGTATGATTGGAGTTGAAGAAATCGAAAAAAATTTAAAGTGCACATAATCAATAGGCGTTCTTACCTAAATGAGTTTTCGGAGTAAATGACACGCATGCTGTGTAGACCTTTCATTAGGAATTATAATACTTAAACTAAAAAGATCGATACGTAATTAAAAATTCTCAGCAGATTTGAGAATTTAAGGAAGATAAAATTGTGATTTAAAGACAGGTTTCCATTTAAAAATCAAACATTTTCAGCGAGCACCAATGATTCCGGTAGAATGAACTTCATAGGGCGCACCGGAACAGGTGGAATTTTAGAGTTTTGGCCCCAAAATCTCCGGCTATTTGTCGAGCGCTGACATGTTGACACTCGGAGTTTTGCGCGTTACAGTTTTTATGCAGCAAAGAAGGCAGACCATGAGGACAGTTTAGTCTAAACTGACAGTTTACGCACCTGTTTTCGACCCATCAGTGCACATCACCTTTAACGAGGACAGTCCAGAAATCATTCAGTGACTGCTTAACTGTCAGTCCTCCTGCTTTTGTCAGGGAAAGCAAGTTGACTTGTCTAGTAAGTTGTCTGTTTACTTCATTCAGTCATCAAATATACGGACCTTTTTTATGCATTGCTTTGGCCGCCCAATTCTTGACATTGAAAACAAGACAGTTTGTAAGGGTTTAAATGGCAAAAGCTCTTCTGTGGAAGACAAAAGTGGCCATTTTAACAGTATGCAGTAAAAACTGCGCCCACCAAAGGGTTTTGGCACAAAGGCCAGTGCAGCTATCCAGCATGACCGACAGGATTCACTAGTTGAATATGAATTCCAGAATCAAGGCAATGATTGCACTCTTCATAACCCCATACGCAGGCACTAAAAGCCTTCTTTTGAGAGAACCTAGACAAAGAAAAATAGCAGATGTGTATGATTAATTTCTTTTGTTTTTTGCATTTAGTATCGTCCGAAGAAAAGCCTGTTCTAGCAGAGCATTGTTTTGCACAATGGTGCCTTCAGAGGCCACCCTGACTGTTGACTGACCCCACTCCGGTAGTCGAACCAATCGGATGGCCGGAAAGTCAAACGTCCAGGTTACCAATGGAATTACCGGTAGACGGCAGAATCCGTGTCTGTCGACGCCCTCAGTCCTTCTTTGGTGGTCGGACAATCAATGTGCGCGTCTGGCTGACAGCAAGGGCCAAAGTGGTGCTAATAATGCGACTTACAGTACGGCTGACAGAACAGCGAAAAAGTGTAAGAACAGCAACCCTACAACCGCCTGGTGGGATGGGAAGTTCAGCCCTCCTTCCACTGTTGCTCTTTTTTTACCTCATATCCGTGACTGGTGTAAATTGTCAGTACTCTGAACCGCAGAACGATGGAGCGGCCTCGGATAAGTTCAGCCTGCTGGAATCCGCACTGTCGGTTCCGCGCCTTCAAGTCGTCCGGGGGCTGCACGCACCCCTGCTGAAGAGCCACCTGCCTATTATGAACCGTGTTTTGAAGGGCCACGTCTGTCGAATTGAAGTGGAGGAGTATGCACCTCTCTTCTCTGTTGTCGGCCATTTGGAGCCAAAGGTAAGTCTGGAAAAAAACTTGCCTACCAGATTCTCCTTCTTTTCGCTAACGGATACATCTTCGTAAATCTGGACTGTTTGTATAAACCCGGTGCAGGTTTAACTCGCATTAGATGCACAAGGGAGGCGGAGATGGTGAAGACGGCATAGGGTGGTTGGGATCACCATGCTAAACGACCCAGTTTACGACTACGGGTCAGCTAATGCTTCAAACCGTTAGAACGCGTTTAAAGTCATGGCCTAGTATTTTCAAAAAATTATATTTCTGGCCCTTAATGCATCGAGAAAATATGGTTTTGGTAAGCCATCGGTTCGGTTTTGGCGACTCCGAACGTCCTTGATGGTTTCATTTGAAATTCCTCTGTTGATGGAGTCGAAGTCCCGCAATTTATTTTGACTGCAGCACTGGAATCGCCCGAATTTTGCGACCCGGTTAGTGCCACAAATGCGTGTCACCAGAACTCATTTTAAATGCTGCCAGTACTATGGCTTCGGCCTCTTTGCTGATTCACGGTTTTCCAGATCATTTTTTTGATTTCCTTGATATGCAGCCCTCCAAAACTTTTCATCCAAATGATTTTTAAGTAGCCAATTTGTGTTTTTGACAGATTTCAACATTAAATTTGACCCACTTGTGAAGAAATCGACGTCTAGTCGGGATTCGAACTAATGACAACAGTAGCAAGACCTGAATGCGGCCAGCACCATCACCGCCTGAGTTACGAGGCTCCGACCAGCAGCAGAGCGATTAATTACATTTGGGTCAAGTTTTCCGGCGAAACTACTTCATTGTGAGGAATACGCCATTTGTAATAAAATAAACTGAATGCATAAGAGAGACTTTCTAAGCAGTCGGATTTGAGAAGGTCCTTTGACAACAAACAGGCAGCCGTTTCGCCTGTTACCAGAAAAAATATGGAAGCACGTACAGTAGGTGGGCTTACTCATGAAATGTCAACCGAAATTCCAAAATTCGTTTTTGTTTTGAAAAGATTAATGAAGTCGGATTGTAAAACAGGTCATCATGCAGCGTCATTCTATAATAATTTGGTTACCTCAGGATGTCGGCTATCAAAATAACTTCTTTACGGCTGCGTGCAAAAACTGCGCTCCGTAAAAAAACGACCACTTACGTAGCGCGCCTTTTTCTGTTTGATTTTCGATGCTCTTAAAAATTCAATTATATTTCAAAGAAAACATGCATAAAAATATTCATTCTTCTGCTTATTCGGTAGAAAATTACGTCTTCTTTCAACGTTATGCTCGAACAAAGGGTATAATTTGGTTTTCAAAAGTTTTTTTCCGAGTAATTTTGAACCCTATCTGCCGTTACACTTGCATTCAGGGTTTGCGATCTACAGGCCGCATATTTTCTGCGTACGGAAAACCAAACATTTCTTTGCGGTATTAAGAGGAACCCGTATGGGGTTCTTATAATGTAGCATTAGATTTGAGCCATATTGCTAACTTCACAAGTCGCATTCGTAAATGCAGAGACATGGCGTTTCGTGAACGGCCACTTCACGGTATTAAAAATCTCACAATTTTAAACTTTTTTAAAACCAAATTATATTCTTCCTTCGAGTATAAAATTAGAAAACGTAATTTTCTACCGAATACGCAGAAGAATTAATATTTTTATGCATGCTTTTTATGGAACATAATTGAATTTTCAAGGGCATCGAAAATCATTAGGGAAGATGCACGCTACTTATGAAGTATTTTTTACAGAGTGTAGTTCTTGCATGCAGCCGGAAGAAGTTATTTCGATAGCCGGCATCCTGAGGTAACTAAATTATTACAGATTGACGCTGCATGATGATCTGTTTTACAATCCTGCTTAATTAATCTTTTCGAAACGAAAATACATTTCGTAATTTCGGTTGAAATTTAATGAGTTAGCCCAGCTAGTGTATAACACTATTTTATTAAAGTTACCGCCCCAAAAACCAGCAGGTGATATGTGCAGTGTGTTTATGATTTATGCAACTTTGGAAGCATTTCTATCTAGATTATTTCGAAAATGTCATAATTTAAACTACTGGGGGAATTTCGTGGGTGCGTTTCAAAGACCCTAAACTACATGGTGTCTGAAAGTTTCTTCTTGGAATAAACAAAGAATTTCCCTGTTTAATTTCCGAGGAAATTGATGAACGAACTTTCAGTAAATCCTTCGGAACAAACCTTTTCATATATGGTCCGAAAATTTTTATGAACGTTTGTGCTGAAATCCATCAGCTACTACGGAATAACCGCGCAATATTCACAAGCCATCAACAGGCAAACAGTAATATACAATTATGTAATTATTCACCTTACTGACAACACAGATACTAGCTACAAAGCTTTTAGCTAGCATCTGTATTGTCAGTATGGCAAATAATTGCAAAAATCTGGACACATTCGAGGACTAATTGAAGCATTAGCTTGCGCACTTCAGTGTAAGTAAGTGAGACTTTCTCCAGCTCATGGATTAACTTTCTAAACGGTACATCATTGAAGCAAGTCGACAGTCAGAAGGACGTGAGTGTGTAGACTACATTACACGAAGACGGCCGAGTCGGTAAATCACCAGGCGAGCATTTATTAGGTTTGACAAAGACATTTTCCCCAGAATATTCGCGCAACCGAATCTAGAATATGCCAAAGAGGCATGCAGACTTTGAATTTTCAGAGGCTGCAATTACTTACCATACTGACAACACAGATACTAGCTGAAAGCCCAGACACGCGTGTTTCGCCAAACTCTTGCCGCAGCCTGACGCAGCTGCGAGGTGTTCGGCTTGTCAGTGGGTCCCCCCAGCTTTCCCCGTGTCTTTTCTGGTATATGAACTCCAGTTCCACCTTGCGTTATTTAATTTTTGAAAAAATTCATGCGCGAACTTGGGAGTAAAGCCTTCGGAACAGACCTTTACAGGTGCGTTCCGGAATTCAGTGTAAATATTTGAGCTGAAATCCATCAGCTACTGCCTCACAGCTGCGTCAGGCAACGTCACATGATCAACGAAACACGCGTGTCTAGGCTTTTAACTAGTACCTATGTTGTCAGTACGGTAAATAATTACACAATTGTAGACAAAAAATTGATTTTGGTTGCATGCGCTAGAACACCACTGTTTGCAGAAAAAACTGAGCCAGAAGAAGGAGAGTTCCTGTTGAGTAACCATCCAGACGATTTTTGAAGAGCACATGCAGCACTACAATCTTTTGAACGAACAGATACGCTAGTGACCAAAATGGAATTACGTATTTGAGCAAATTGATGCTCTGGACTCACCCCCCGTGCTACATCGCAAAGCGCTGTCCTTGCTTGCTGTGGTAGATGTATGACACCCTGAAGGTCGACCATATTCCTTTTCTTGGTGAAGTACACAGACACTGTCTTCTGCCGGGGGGTCACAGAGGCAGCAAAGGCTTTGAAGTACATGACAAATACCTGGCGACATCAGTATCCACTTGACGTGCGTGCACCAATTTAACGCGCTTGGGATTCGGGTCAGTTTAGGGGATCTGCTGAGATGGGAAACCGCTGTAGAAGAAAAATCCATCAACAGCGGTTAACATCGACCGAACTTAGCAAATGGGCTTCCATCTCCAGGTGATCAATAAGGGAAATTGCATTCCCATTGAACACCTAAACGGTGAGACAAGAAATCTTGCATAAGAAGTCCATTTGAAAAAAGCATCTTCAAACGAGACGATCTTTGACAAATGCCTGTTCGTTAGTCATCGCACTCGACGCAGTCTCAGCTTAAGTCTGGCGACTACAGTAGATGTGCTAACTCATGAAATGTCAGTCGACATTCTGAAACGCGTTTTCGACTCGTATAGACTAATAAAACTGGGTTGCAATATTGGTCATCATGCAGCATAATTCCATGAAAATTCAACTTTTCAGGATGTCAGCTTTTATATGAGCTTCTTTTTGGTTGCCTGCAAAAGCTGCACTCTGTACGAAGTGACTGCTCAGGTAACATAATTTTTTTCATTACTTTTCGATGCCCTTATAAATTCAACTAAATTTCAGGGAAAACTTGCATAAAAATGTTCATTCCCTGACCTACGTAGTAGAGACTTACGTCTTCTGCAAATATTTTACTGGAAGGTGGCTATAAATTGCTTTCTAAAACGTTTCTTATTATGAGATTTTTCAAGATCTGAGATGCCCGTTCATAAAGCACTATTTTTCTGCATTTAATTATGTAGCTTGTAAAGTTTACAGTATGGCTCAAATCCACTACTAAGTTTTGTAAACACCCTACGATCTCCTTTTAAAACCGTAGAAAAATGCATGGTTTTTCATACGCGGAAGATATATGGCTTGTAGTTTGGAAACCCAGAATGCAGATGTAACGGTAGGTCGGGTTAAAAATTATTCGGGAGTAGGAAGAATTTTTTAAAACCGAATTACAGCCTACCTTCGAAGGAAATATTTGCAGAAGACGTAATTTTCTACCAAGTAGGTTAGAGAATGAATATTTTTATGACCTTTTCCCTGAAATATATCTGAATTTATAAGGACATCGAAAATTAACAAGAAACATTTATGCTTCTTGAGTAGTCATTTATTACAGAGCATATTTTGGCAACGATCGGGTGAAAGATCCCAAACACGCGACCAGCCAGAAGTGTATGTCTTAAGAGGAAGCTGGTAACAAGGGCTTTACAGGCGGCCTATGTATGCATATTGGAATGAAGAATTAGTATAGATAATTGGTGAATTTGTTTTTAGATCGGAAAAGTTTGAATGCATTGACGTATAGCAACCGAAATTAAGCAGTACGATTAAAAAAATAAACATTAAGTGTCTACAACAGGGGGACGAAAAGAAGCTCGTACAAAAGCTGGCGTCCTGGGGTAGCTGAATTATCTTGGAATTATGCTGTATGGTAATTTATATTGCAAGTCTACTTAAGTAATCTTTTCGAGTTAAAAATTCATTTCAGAATCTCGGTTAACATTTCATGAATCAGCACATTTGGTTTAATTCCAAAACGGGATGGATAGAACGACTAATGTGAAGTATTCATATGTGCATAGGAAGAAAAGCAGTTTGGGATGCAAAGAAACACATTTCAAAAATAAACTTAACAAGAAAACTGGTTTGGGAGATCAAAAAGATTTAAAGAACGATCTTTCCGATGTTTTTTCAATACGTGTACCATCGGTCGACTGAAGGTCAACCGTCGCTTATTTATGGCAGCCGAGTTGTATGACAACGGAGAAAGGTTCAGTGCTGATCCATACAACTGAGGCTTAAATTTCTTTTGGTGAAATTGCCTAAATACTACAATTTAAAATGTGGTCTGTTAATTATTCTCTTTTAGGGGACTAAGGTAAACATGTAAACGACATTTCTAACGCCTTTTAATAAAAGGTTTCGGCTCGCTGAAAATTTATTTTCTAAAGGCCGGTGTATTTCAGTCTTCCAAACACCAGGCAGCTTTGGAACCATCTTAGTTGGATGTTTAGAGTTGTGGGCATTGGGGTATTTGAATGGTTGAGCATTCTCATAGGGAATACCACTTTATCCAGACATATTACTGAACAGGATATAAACAAATGAGGAACTTCCATCGGACAAGACCATAGGCACAGACGGAAGAAAACTATGAAACTTTTTAGGTGTTAGAATAGTCGATGCACTTCATTTACGAAAACCAGTGCTCTAACTGAATAAAGTGACTATAAAATAGGCACTTTGTTAATCCATTCTATGGAAAAAGATAAATAAAATAATCGAAAAAGACAGATTGAATAGGCCTCACCAAACCAGGCGATTTGTCCGCAAAAAACTCGGCTGCAGGAGACTGGGGAAGGTCTGGTTGCTATTGTGTACAAACAAACATAAAATTAAGCCTCATGCTCTTCCATATTTGAGCCGCATTTCGACAAGCCTTCCTTTGTGAAGACTTTATTGATTATGCCAGATCGTCTGCCATATCTATTGGCGAAAACTGCATCAGCGAGAATATCGGCGCCCAGAACTTCACACTTAATCCCATTTGCTGTTTACACAAAAACGTAATATTCTATGATAATGCCCCATAGAAAATATCATATTACCATTTCAGACAACCCCACAGTCGACTAGAATCTGCTTTTAGAGAAAAAGTGATGAAACGCACACTGCTTTTTATACTAGATGGTCATTCTAGTAGGTACAGAGCAGATCAATGTGAATGACAAATGACTGAAAATGTGACCGATTATCTTTACATAACCATTGGTATGAATTTGTCGTGCACCAAAGCCCAGAGTGCCTCTTCATTTAAGGGTTAAGCGTTTCTGATAGTTTTTGGCGCCGCAAGCTTTTCCACTCCCCGGGTCGACACTATGCGTGCTTTAAATCATTAAAAGCACGGACTGTGTCATTCTTCGCTGACCTTAGTAAAGACGTCGATTACAATTTCGGAGTATCTGCGCTTTCCTTGCACTATCATTCAAGGCGTGAGAATGTATAAATATGGTCGATTTTTACTCGTATGTATATATTGAATAACTGAGGTAATATGCATTCCCAGATAGCATGACGAAGATAGAAGGCTCGCCGGAAAAGTCGAAAATTCACGAGCACAAGTCGACTTTTTCGGAGAACCTTTTCCATTTTTAAAGCCAAGCATACATTCGGGGATTCTGCCTTTTCAGCAAAAGTTACAGAAAACTGAAACAAGCAGCGCCCAACAAGTACGCCCTGTTGCAGAAGCACATCACAGAGGTGGCAACTCATATCAAAATTCCTGATAGAGATTATGGTGGATAGGTTTGGACTCCTTACCCAGGAAATCCGGGTGACGCCGGAGACAGGCAGAAAACTGTACTTGTCTTGAGGCAGTATTCCTCCTAGGATGAGTGCGCACTGACTTGTAAAGTCAGGCAGTAATTGCCTTTAAACTCATCCGGAATGTTCGCCTAATTAACTTTGTCATCTGCGCATCCTGAAGACTGGCTTTCCGCTTCACAAATGAATGCTGAAAAAGTCGACAGTAAACCGTAAATGTCAGATTTTACGGATATCGTCAGGGGCGAGAACCTTCGCATGTGCGCACTGGAAGGAACAGATGGACTGAGAAGACATTTAGCTGATTGAATATGAACAAAAATACTAACAGAGCATTTCCGTGGAGAGGATGCCTTTATGGCTTTCGTTACACAAAAACTTCAACGATAGATCTGCTTTAAATATGAAATCGCTGGAGTTTAGCCTGGTCTCGGCTTTTTAAATGGAAAGGTGAGTGCGTCTTGCAGGCCAAGGTCATATTCTCGAAGGGGAAGTATCGAAATTATCAATTAAATTCACATTAGTTACATGGACTACAACCTGATCAACTCAGTTGAAACGGAAAAAAGCAGTAAGCTAAGTCCTAAAGGGCGTGTTGAAGTGACGATTTTTTAAACTGTAAAGTTCTTCTACGAGAAGACGCCCAGGTCCACGCAAGCGTATGTTCGCGGTGTCAGGAAACATCATTTTGGACGCGCAGTTGTCTTCGACCGTCAAGTTTTGAACGGAAATCCTGTCTGACGACGATGACAAATGCAGCCGTTGAAAAATGATGCTTGAAAATACGGAGAGAAACTGTGCTGAAAGCTAGGCAGAAGCATCATAAAAACGCCAAGAAAGGATCTAAAGGCGTCCCTAATAGAAAGATATTTTTCCGCGAAAGTAGCCTTATATGTTTAGATTAAATGAAACAGTGTTTTTAGGACTGGAGAGCATTTGACCAAATGTTTTATAATTTTAGCATCCATGGTAAGTGTTGCGTCTTTTTGTTCAGCACTTAAAATTCTCCAGATCCCTCATTCAAGTGCTTCCAAGTTTGCTTTCCGTTGTTAACGCTTCGCTCCCCCTTTTACACCCTTTTTGGGCACAAACTGCGTTCTTATAACTGACTGATTTCCTTGTCTAACATTAAGGTAAAAATTCAGTTTGCTGGAATACTGACCAAGGAATTGCCTGGCAAGGGTATCCACTGTTGAGTACTGTTGAGTTCCTCGCAATTTCGGCCCCTGCGTATATGCATCAAAATCTGTTTTTTTGGCTTATACACGTCGCTCGGAAAACCGAAGAATTCAACAGTAATTATTTCTTTTTTACGTTACACTGTGTGCGCGGTCAATGTTATGTTGTACAAAATTATGCCTGTTGTCAATTCTCTGGGCTATAGACAAGCGTGCACGAAAACTATCTACATTACCATCGCTCTCTATGGATAACGGCATTTGATAATCTGGGTTAGAAAGTCCCGCTTGGCTCATAAAAGGAGGAGTTAAGAAGTAGTAGAAGTGAGGCAATCATTTAATTGGACACGATCTTATGAGCATCTTTAAAAATGTTATCATTTTCGGTATCTAATGCAATTCGAAATATGTAATACAATTGGGGGGCCTTTTTGACACTCAGATTTCAACGGTTTTCAGGCCGATTCATCTAGGCGTTTTAAGTACCGTCTCTGTTAAGGCGTGCTACTAAAAAATATATGCATGCGGGTTGTCTAGTTGCCCCATTAGATCTGCCCATAGCCAAACTGGGATTCTTCATTGACATGCATTGGCGATATGAGTTTACGAGACTTGAACTAAAGAAAACAAATATTGGGTGGTCTCTTCCTACTGGCTTAAATTCAACGTCAATAGGGCACAGATGTTGCGTTACAGATACACGTTTAGGAGCAGGTTAGGTTCAAAACAGTAGACGACTTGATAAACCCATTTTAAAACAGAATACTTACATAATATAGGAACTTGTAGACTTACAGTACTTGACCTCTCTCATAAAATCTGATAACGGAAACTGATGCGAGAATTTCTGGACGTCTTTAACATTGCGCATTTTGTCCGCCCATTCAAATCCTTCAATGAAATGTCATTTTCTTGTGCAGAAATTATATTTCTACTTTCATATTTACCACGTCTTTGGTATGAAAATACATTCTACATATCTGAAAACGAGGTTTACTAAATTAGGGCTATTTCTGGCGTTTTCAGAATACTGCGCTTTTCAAAATAAATCGGCATTTCTAAACAACTCAACCGTGCCTTTAATATTTCTTTCATGTTTTTCATTCTTTTACATCTGTACATAATGAACATAGAAATTAGGCTCATGAAATGGTGTCGATTTGCGAGTGATCGGCAAGCATCCGTAAATTTTGGCACATTTCATGAGTTAGGTCACTAACTGTTTATGTACATCTACAGACACCAGAGCTCCAGTAACAGGGATTAGCTGCAAATACAGTGAGCGACCGATTTCCTGAAATGTTGGCTGACGTTCCGAAATGTGTTTTCGATTAGGAAGAAATACCTAGGCGCGATTGTAATACTGGTTATCTTGCGACATAATCCTTTAATATTTCGGATTCAGAAGGATGTCAGCTTTTGAATGCACCGCTTTTCAGTGGTCTTGCAAATTCAAGTATAGTTTATAGAAACCACGAACAAAAACATGCCTTCTTTCAGTGCTTTGGTAGAGAATCACGTCATATTTCTGTTTTATACTTGAAAAAGGAGTATAATTAGGTTTCAAAAACGTTTTCTAATTCCCGAGTAATTTGAAGCCTGATCAGTTGTTGCATTAGCGCCTAATGTTCCAGTCTACAAGGTGCATAGGTTCCGCGTAAAGAAAATCAAATATTGTTTTATGCCCGTAAAAAGATACTATATGGAGATTATGAAATTTTGCAATGGATGCTGACCATGTTGTACATGTCGTGAGGGGCAGCGGTAAACGAGCAGGTACGATGCCGTTTGAGTAGACATTGCACGGTCTTAAAAATCTCATAATTAGAAACTTTTTTAAAATCGAATTTTACGCTTTCTTCGAGTATAAAACACAAATATGACGTGATTCTCTACCAAAGGACTGAACGAAGGCATGTTTGTGTTCGTTGTTTCTACAAAATATGCTTGAATTTGCGAGATCATCGAAAATCAGTGGAAGATATGCATGCTACATGAGCAGCCATTTTTACCCAGTACGGTTTTTACAGGATATTGAAAAGTGGTGCACTCGAAAGCTGACATCCTACTGAATCCGAAGTATTATATGTCGCAAGATAATCAGTATAATAATCGCACCTAAGTAATCCTTCCTAATCGAAAACGCACTTCAGAATTTCGGCCAACATTTCACGAGATTGGCCACTTTCGGTCTTTAACACTTCCGCACGGCTCTTTGAATCTATACGTACTATGTTCCACTGTTTTTTATACTGTTATTAGTTTACCTAGCACTAAATCGCGTTCTGCGGAGTGGCACCGGACTGTGCGAGGGAGACGGGTGTCATGATGAATAAATATATAAACAAATAAACATCAGTAAGTAAGAGAAGGCGAAAGGTTTGCAGTTCGTTGCATGTACTGAAATTCCTCACCCCGGCCATAGCTGAATACTCTGCCCCACCAATTCCATTTAAAATCGCCTAACAACAACCGTACTGCTAGAAAGCTAAAGTTCAATAAAATACCTCAAAAATCTTGACACCATAGAATCTTTAAGTTTTCAGTCAAAACCGGCAAAGCACTCAGGTGTCCGGTACCTTGAGAAACAATAGTCAAGGTTTAGTATTTATAGTTTTACTCCTTGCAGCCTGAAGATGCAAAAAAGAGGATACGCAGGAATTTTAATACGCCCCAGGTAGAAAGGGCAGTAGTTTCATTTTAATACTGTTGATATTCGCAATAGAACTTTCCCATTAGACGCCATCATGGAGTAAAATACAAAAATCCCCTCATAACCAAACTAAAGGCACCAACTGTCGGCACTGAGGGCTGTTAGGCCCGTGCGTCAGTTTTTCATTCTAACCCTTATGCGTCTAGGCACTTGAAAAAAACAGGCCAGGGAGTAGATTAAGAGACTACGAACGCGCCAAAGTTCTACAGAAGGTGTGGTGGTACTTGCCTAGGGGAGGAGAAAAAGGTCCCATCGTTGTCAGGCTAGACTGAATCAAATGCGTTCTTTGCTGAAGAGTTCGACCAGCGACACGTCCGACCAGACGAGGATGTTGACAGGGAAAAAGAAGGCGGTGGTCAAACTAACTTTCTTCAGGAGACGTCCTTTTTAATGAGACAAGAAAGGTGACAAGACGGTCCCGAGGGAGGAGGGAAAAAAGGGGTGTAAATAGGGATTGGATAGTAGTGCAAACAACGTAAGTGTGAAACTAAGGTCACTGTAGCCTGCAAATCCTGGCAGACAGACAAGAAATGACTGGGCGGTAAAATGACACTTGGAAGAGAGAAGTTTTTTCAGGGTGAAATTTGAGTGCTGCACTAATCCGGAAGTGGCAGAGTTCGCAATAGTACCGAAAATTGGTAGAGGGGCGCTCACCGATTGTTCCTACGGAACTCACTCGTTCCGTTGTGCCTTACGGGCTCTCTCTCGAGCCCAACCAGCAGCCGCACAGCGGCACATGATATAAGCAGTATGTTATTACCGACAAAGACAAGGGAGACAGGAATGGTTATTTCCGGCTTATTAGCCGTCGTCAGCCAGTCATACCCAATCGCGAAGTGGGGAACACCTGTGAATCGATCCCTCGACCTGTTAGTTAGATGTCCAACGTCTCTAACCACTAAGCCACGGGCCCGTTGTCCTGTCGGTTTCGATCGGGAATATGCAATGATAAGCGTCCCCTACTATTATCTTTGTTGGTAATAACATACTGATTTTTCGTTATTCGCTGGGAGACCGCTCTTACTGACAGCATAAACAACATTTGCATTTAGAAACTAGAATTGAAACCGTCAGGCATTACTGAAAAAGGTGGCTATTATACTGGCTAAGACCGATGCCTGAATGCCATGTGAAATCGTAAATCTGACGTAGACTATTTTTATTCCTACAGAAATTCGATTGCTCCTTTCGTGATGGAGACGTTACCTACTACCACGAAGGCAATCCCCTCCTGAATTCAGACACTGTTCGAGTCACAATCTTCTTCTTTCGGAACAACTACTCAATCATTCAGACTGCGGACATCGCGGTGGACATAATCGATCCACGCCAAACAAAAACGGTAAACTTGACCGTTGATGGGGGTCCCGAAAGTTCCTTCAAGAAGGTCGATGGAAGCAGCCCCAAGCAATCTCGGCTCTCTGGCCCACAGGAACTGCATGTGGAACATGTTAAGGCTCTCAGTGAGGCCATCGACCCAGCTGCTCTGCAGATTCTGTACGTCAGACCATCTCCCACATAGCAAGTGTGGTTCCTTTAAACGAGGTATCGACTGCTTTTCGGAGGAAGTAAATTTTTGGGAAAAAAAGGTTAATCAGTTAGAATCGGAATAAAAAGAATTCAACATCTGCTAAAGCACAAACTATAAATGTTGCGTATGTCACGTATGGCACGATCCACAGTCTTCTGACAGTTAAGTGGCGTCCTTCTCTATTCCGTCGCACTTTCTAATTGTGAAATGTTTTAATACTGTAAAACAGTCGTTCATAAAACATCACGTCTCTGCATTTACTAATATGGCTTGTAAAGTTTTTAATATAGCTCAAATTCTCTGTTAAATTTTATGAGCCCCATATGGTCTCCTCTTAATACCGTAGAAAAATGTATGGTTTTCCGTACGCGGAAAATATACGACTTATAGTTTTAAAACCCCGAATGCAAGTGTAACGGCAGGTCGGGCCCAAAATTAACCGGGAATGAAAAAAAGTTTTTGGAAACACCGAATTATACCCTTCCTGCAAGTATGAAATTGGAGGACGACGTAAGGTTCTATCAAATGAGTAGAAAAATGAATATTTTTATGCATGTTTTCCATGAAATATTATTGTATATTTAAGGGCATCAAAAATCAACGAGAAAAACGTATGCTAATCGAGTAGTCATTTTTTACAGAGTATAGTTTTTTCATGCGGCCGGAAAGAAGTTCGTTCAAAAGCCGACAGTCTGATGTAACTGAATTCTTATGGAATTATGCCGCAGGCTGAATAGTTTGACAACCCTACTTAATTAATCTTTTCGAAACGAAAACGCATTTCGGAATTTCGGTCGGCATTTCATGAGTTAGTCCACCTACTGTACTCTTACATTTTATATGTAGCAAGATTTTCCTTCACAACAACGTCATACGGAACAGAAGCCGTTTTAGATATAGGTTATACGATGAATTAGGAAAATGCCTGTCTGCCGTCGACAGCTGGGCGTGGGTCAATTTTTGGCTGGGCATCTGAAATTTGCGTTCGAGTCTGCTGTTCAGTAACCACTTCTGCCAACCACTCTTCCAATTTGGCCATGGGCGTACGTCTGTCCGTTGCGATCAGAAATGTTCCCGGTTGCTTGGAGATCATCTTTTGTCCCGCAACAGGGACTCAGCAGTATTGTACGAGGCCGAAAAGAGAAAAGCAACCTGTAAGGTAAAAGGAATGTCGGCATAGTCGAGGAGAACGGCATTTCCAGCCAGACAAATGTCATCAGTAAGACGTACAGTATGTGGGCTAACTCATGAACGGTCATTTCATAGTATTAAAAATCTCACAATTTTAAATTTTTTAAAACCGAACTGTACCCTCTATTTGAGTATAAAATTGGAAGATGACGTAATTTCCTACCGAATGAATATTTTTATGCATGTTTGTTCATGAAATATTATTGAATATTTAAAGACACCAAAAAATCAATGAGAAAAATGCGTGCTAATTAAGTAGTCATTGTTTACATATATAGTTTTTGTATGCAGCCAGAAGGACGTTCGTTTGAAAACAGGCATCCCGACGTAACTGGATTATTGTAGAATTACACTGCAGACTGACTAGTTTTACAACCCTACTTAATTAATCTTTTCGAAGCAAAAACGCATCTCGGAATTTCAGTCGGCATTTCATGAGTTAGAACACCTACTGTAGTCCAGTCTCAGTCCATGGAAGATTAAGCCTTCAACTTGGGCCAGCTGATGTCGAAATAAAAGAGTGGTGAAATCACTCTCTGCCGCCTGCAGTAGTATGTCCTCCCCGTTCTTCATTGTGTTACGACCCGTGCGAGCTCTAGTTTAGATCCTTAGGGAAAAACAGGATCGCTTCTCATTTTACCTTGAAGTAAGACCAAATCACATATGATTGTTCATACGAGGCTTGATAAGTGGGTGTTTAAGCAGCTTTAATGTGAACCAGTCTTAATTCTGAATAAAACAAGCAACTTACCACAAAATGACTCAAACCAACAAGTTTTTCTTATAAGCTCTTCCTGGAGAAACTAACTAGACTCTAATATGCGTGAAGAATGAGAGAAACGTGTAGATAGCCAAAGTACAGCTTCAGCTGTGTGTAAGGCCGATATGGGGTGTTGAATGTTGATCGGTCAGAAGTGATGATAACACGGCGCTTGTGTCACCCCGGGTTCCGCAGAAAAGTCACTAGGTGTAACCAATTCTTTTCCACTTCTCTCACTCGCCCATGAGGCCTACTGTAAATTGTGTCTTTTTTGTTGCTGGTGCATACAAAAATATTGCTGATTTTTCATTCCCGATAGGAGAGTATGCCAGACAATATAATACATATTACTAATAAAAAGTTGACCTTGAAGGGAGCCAGAATGCTATGCTATAAATCTCGGTTAGGCCCACAGAAAAAGCAAACTGTCCGAAATTTCAAAAGGTTATCACCTGGTGATGCAAACTGTAGAAATGGGAGATCATACAAAGAAAACGCATTTTCTCTGAGACAAACTCGCTCCGTTTGTCGGCATGGCATACGAAACTTCGAGTCTACAGCTGGAATAAAATTTTATAGCTTCAGAAATCACATAACGCGTTGCGCTACTTTTATGGAATGGAATTACTTGTTTTATTCGCCGCATTCTTTCTCGCTTGCTTTTAGCTACGATGCAGACAAAGAGGACTGTCGCATTTCCTACACCAGCCCCGAGTTGACACTCAATGCGCCCACCGAAAGAGCCCTGGAGCAAATCAGTGGGCATCCCTATCAGACATTCTGGTGGGAACCGAATGCCGGTCTCTGGAGTCCCCGTATGGGACGGCCGCTGGCCAGCGGCGCTGCTATTGGTGGAAGTCGCCGATGGCCGCTCTTCGGCCAGGTTGTGGCCTTCAATCGGACCGATGTTAAGCACTTTGATCATGAATGTCAGGAGGGTCTACTGAAGGGCTACAGGTGAGAGTACATTGCGTCCAATCCTTTAATTCGCCGTATGTGACATAATTATTATTCATAGAATATAATTATAAAACCTCAGTTCTTTTCTTCGTTATAATTGACCTCTGAAACTCCCGGTCCTCGTTCTTCCTCCACGCCCTACATAGGCGAATTGATGTTTCACATCGTTTTGTGGGTGATTATGTATCCTTTAAATTCATTTCCCAGGACGAGATAGCGCTTCGGTTTTAACAAAATTTGCTAATTGAAGTAGGTCTTTAAGTACGATTCATTTTACAACTTCGACTTGGGCTTTCCCTTAGTAAAAATCACTTAGTTCCTTATAGCTCCCGAAAAAGGCTTTTTGGCATCCACAAAATATGATAATAACTACGGCGCACCCCGCATAACTCTAAGATTGCCGTATGTGCAGACAATTTATCATGCAAATAACTCCGCCAGCATCTGGAAAATTTTCATAATTAAACCCTGGAAGGGAATCTAACCTTCCTCCCGAATAGACATTTGAACAAAAACCGATTAGGTTACGTGGCAAAGAATCAGGATGTTTTTGGGAGGCCTGATTGAATTACCAAGAGGTTAAAAAAGACTTGGAATTAAAAGTACATTAAAGGGCTCGGCCAGTGACTCGTGAAGCTCGGAGACTACTATTTTTTCATGACATTCAGAACTTCCCGTTAATCCTTCCTGTAACTGTGCAGCACGTCCAGCCACGACAACAAAATTTCCACTTTTCCAAGAAATATGCAATAAATTGCAATAAAGTAGGTAAGGAAATATCCTCAAATGATAAAAGGTTCTAATACATGCGAATGAGTTGATTGGTAGTGCCAATAGGGGTAGACAGGTGCTTCGTCGAACAAGAGCCGTGCAGTAGAACAAATATTTTGAATTGAAAAATAATCAAGGGGCTCAAACCTTGCATAAAAAGCTGCTATGCGTGCCATGGGGTTTCGATCTGTTGTAAAAGAAAATTCATTAGTTAATGTAAGGCATGTACCATGAGGATCGGCTCTTCCGTACTTTCATGATAAGAAGAGTTCTAAGGAGTCACAAATAATCGAAAAAACACATCGGCTGGAATAAGAGGAAACAGTAAAACTGTAGCACGTAACTTACAGTAGGATAAATGCATGTTGAAAAACTGTAAAACCACCGTTTTAATCTTTAGAGGCGCTTAAATTAAGTTGACCAGATATTTTGCCGACTTCGTACCGATTCCAATAGATGGCGAAAGTTAACACTAACAACATTAGTGCATAAACTGACATGTGCTTTCAGAGCCTCTGAATGCAAAAGGCGATTTCTTAGTCTAGGTGTTTATAGTGCTTGATGGGAGGAATAAATCTTTCCCGCCCTCAAACCTCCTTTAAGTCATCTGACGTTTCATTTTCCTTCTTTTACTTCGCTTCTTTGCCAAGAATAGGTAAATACCAGACAAAATGTACTTCGACGATTAGGTTGTATATGATCTTCCATTTCCAGATTTTCTGGCTTCAATGTTCTCGCCTTCCCAATCTTAATAGTTAAAATCCTGCCTTGAGACACACTTTTGTTTAAAAATGCCTCTGCACACATACTCCCCAAAGCCTCGATCAGACGCATTCAGACCTTTATTGCAATAAAATAACTTGTATAGGAAATATTTATCTTATTTTTGGAAGGCCCAGCTGGACTTTTATTTCGCCTTGACTGGATGAATCTGGGGGTTGCAATCACGAACACAATGAAGTTTTATTAATTTGTCCTGAAAGTATGAACTTGTGTTTAAAACGCGAAAGAAACCCTTGCCTTCCTGCAAAAATGCACGTACCTGGATTTTGAGACTATGAACGACTACCATTATTTCCACGTAATAGAATCGAACATCGTCAGTTAAGAATATTTGGTATGATCGTTTCCATTTTCGACAGGTTTTTTTCTTTGAAAATTGTCGATTGGACCGTCGAAAATGTGTCTTATAACGTTTATAAGTGCGAAGTTAACCGCATATTCTGTCATGTTTAACGGTTGTACCACATTTGCTAAGGAAATACAACACAAGCCCTTATTCTCTTCCATAAAAGAAAAGATAAATGTAACAACAGGGTTTTTGTTATTGGTTTCTTGTAGGTTCTTTTAGCTTCAGTTGTAGCCTTTGCGCATCACAATAAGCAAATCTATAAAAAAAATATGACAGATACTTATGCGACCCTGCCCTATTGTAAAACGTTCACAGTGTAGCCAAAACGCAGCATGGTTTGGCGAAAACATTGCTTTTATGCAATGATTTATGGAGACCTCTGTTGCGACTGATCGATGCTATGTTTTTCCGTTCTCCTGCTCGAAGGTTTTAAGAACGTCATGACCAGCTTTTGCGCAGTGAAGGCCGCTCATGATTCAGGAGCTGATAAACACAGTAGGCCACCAAAAACTAAGCTGTTATTCACCCTCTCTGGACATCTGGAAATGTGTTTATGCAATGTTTTTGTCCTTATTGTACACCTTTCGTATGGATTCATTGGACTCTGTGGTCAGTTGAGATTATTTACTGCGTAGGACAGAAATCTGGCTATTCTTCAGCATAAAAGGGCATATCATATGATTCAATATTTGAGTGTATCCATATGCCCCACAGAGATCGCAGCCAATCGCTGCACTTCTCACGACTAGAAGCGAGAATGCGAATCCCAGGTTCGTGCTGTCGTTAGCGAAGTCCACAGTCGAACGCTTCTCATATGGGCGTTGCTTATGCAATGATAAATGAGTCTGTTCTATTGTCTTCTGCATTCATTAGTGAGAAACCATAGTTAGAGCGGATAACCGTTCAATAACAACTGCTCGCCTTTGTATAGTTTCTCGCTGCCTGTCGAACGCATGCGTCTCAGGCTATAGCCAGGACTTTACCGCCTGGAGGCATGAGCGTAGAGTGGTATATGTTGTTTTATGAAGTATTGGAATCTTTCACCATGGCATGGAACAACAAGTGGTGACAATGGCTTATTTTTCTGAGGACGCAGTAGAATATAGTGACCGAGCCCCTCTACTCCCTTCTACCTCTTTGGCACGATATTTTTTGTCTGGTTGCAGAAGAAAGTCAAGAAAAAGTCAACAAAACTTCCTATTCATTCTTTTGGTAGAAACCGCAAATGCCACCGTCCTCTATTCATGCAGTCTGCCACGGACTTGTGGAACGTCAGTTTTAATTTGTGTGCCATGGGCAGATTTTATGTAGATGAAAGGTCTTAGTCATTTGCGAACTCACAACCAAACTTGTTGTCAACTTGCAAATGTAGATGCAAAATAGCATTGTTCGTGAATCTCAAATCGAGGGGTTACCCCAAAATAATATATTTCTTTCGAGATGCTCGCGCAACGATGAACCTGAGCGATAATTAACATAGACAGACAAAGCGGAAAGTAGGTTCTTGGAAGAAATGAGCTTATTTCTCCAGGGCCAAAATGTTCACGATAGACCAATAGCGAAAAGTTGGCAGTCAGTTATAGTAAATTAATCATCTTTTCGAAACACCCAAAAACTGGACAGTTAAAGAACACATTTCACCAGATACGTTTAGTTGTGTCCTCAGAAAGGTGGACGATTTGGCCAAGAAAGAAGAAAATTATCTCGAAAATGACCCGGCTTATTGGTCTAGAATTTTTAAGATTCGTCTGACGGAAATTGTTATGGTTAAATTAAAAATGTCCTCTAAACCTGTTCTCCAGCACATGGTGTGGCCCAGTCCTAGGTGTACTCAGATAACCCTCCCAAAAAATACTCTGGCTTCTTTTTGCAAGCGATCGATCTTCTTGTTTTAATCTTTTTTACCCTAATTTACTTTAGAGATCTAGTTTCGTGATCTGAACCAATTCGATTGGATTTTTGATCTCAGCCAAATGGGTCCTGGTGATAGGCATGCCTATAACTATTCAACTAGTGAATAAGTTGAAACGGAATTTTCCTAACTTTTCTGGGCGACTTCACCAGGGAAACAAACTACCCTATACGCGTACCAGTGGAGACCATAAAGAACTACTTACGCGATGTACACAGAATGTCCAATTCCTCTGCAGCGGCTAGCTATATAGGCAAATAGACGATGTGGCAATGGGTTCAGCGCTTGGACCGTTTATCGCAAATGTCTTCATGGGCAAGGACGAGAAAACGAGTCTCAAGGATACAATTAATGACCTTAAATTCTACGGTCGATATGTGGACGATATCTTTTGCCTGACGAGTCATACCACCGACATCAATGGCCTTGTTCGGAAGTTTAACGGGGCGCACCCATCTCTGATGTTTACCGCAGAGACCAAGGCGAATAACGAGATTGCGTTCCTTGATGTCCTTCTGCGCAGACAAGAGGATGGATCCGTCCAGCGCAAGATATTCAGAAAGAAAACCTGGACGGGACAATACATTAATTTTCACAGTTTTGTCCCCTTAAATCTAAAACCAAATTTAGTCCAGGGACTGGCGGCTAGAGTGCGACGCATCTGCCCTCCTGAAAATGTTGAAGCAAAACTCCAGCAACTGTAAAACACGCTCCGAGAACGACTCATCCTCCAGAATATTAGAGAGCGTGTCACAAAACCTGCCGTTGCGACTGCAGAGCAGAAATACTTATTTCTAAGACTGCCTTTTCTAGGGGACGCAGCAAGCGAATTAGCGAGACGACGTCTTAGGACAGTTCTCGCGAGTGCCTTCGCCGCGGCGAACTTGCGCGTATTCTTGGCAAATTCCCCCCCTATTACGGTTGGGGGCAAATACCGGCTGTCGTTACAGGTCACATCCATGTGTATTTATTCATTCACCTGCTCCTGTGAAGAAGGATATATTGGGCGTACAACTAGGCGTCTGGAAAATAGAATACGCGAACACATGCCTGCCTGGCTAGGTATAGGTGAAAATCGATCGATTTCGAGTTCAAGTCTTGCACATTTAATCGATACGAACCACCAAGCCGACAATAAAGAAGCCTTTAAAGTTATCTACCGGGCATCGGTGCACTACCCTAAAGGCCTGCGCAAACGGGCGCTAGCCACAGCCGAAGCAGTGGCCACTCGACTAGCGAACCTAGCACTTTGTTGTCAGAAGACGCTGACACAAGCAGTCTGTCTGCCCTGGCCGACTCCAGACGATGATCGCTCGCCGTCTCGACGCCCTGAGAGCAGTCACACGCACTCACAGCGCTTACAATCTAACCGGAACCCTCCCCCTTCCCCCCCCCCCCCCCCTCCGACCCCAACTCCTCGTCCTCAACACGCTGACTCCGTCATGCGTGCGGCTTGCGAACATGGAGTCCGATCAACCCTGCCCCTGAGACACATTGATGTCCCGTCCACAATCAAAAAGATCATTACCCATGTAAATGTATTAGTCTGGAGACGAGTTACCGAGGTCATAGAAATGCTGTAGTAAGGCGGCTACAACGCTAATTAAGTAGGCAAGTTAATATCTGATTAGAATGCTCAGACTATTTTAACCAGAGACCTCACGGTTTGTCGGGGACGATGAGGGTTATTCGGCATAGCTTGGGGATAGGGTTATTCTACCATAACTAAGCAAAAATAACGTCCCAATAGTAGGAGAACGGATCCAAAAGAGGAAATTTAGCTCATGGCTTGTGAGCATTTTCCTTCTTAAGCACGGACAGTGAGGCTTTAGGACGACCTTGACGTTTCAAAAATTGCATTCTTTGAAACTAAAAACTGTTTCGACTTCAGAGAACCAACGCTTCAATAAACTTGGAAGCCGACTGAAAGCACTCGCGGAGGGAATAAAAATGTTGGCATATCCAGAGCCAGAACCTCAAGGCCTCCTTGATTACACGAGCACTAATAATACAAAACTTGTGGACTACGAGATGAAAGTGCGAAGTTTTGCCCTGAAAAACAAGGCAGAAACAAACGAAGATTTGATCTCCCCAAGAGAAGCCGTTCATTTGTTTGTCCTTTCTGAAGCATGCTGGAGTCTGAGGACCGAAAATATTTTCACTGCTGTAGGTTATAGAAAGGTCAATCACCTAGCTAGAAAACACGTGGCCTAGATGGGGTGGTTTACATAACAACAGGATTGGTAGCAGAATGCTAGTCCCGGTTGTTGGATAACACAGACTAACTGGAGTACTGACGCATTCTAACGGAACCTCTGTTTGCGTCCTCAAGCCTGTGTCCTTCTTTGTTGTGGGTGATACCGCACCGTCTTACACGCAGGCTAGAGGTCTATCCGGCGATTACTTTTGTTATCACCTAAATACCGGAATTTCCGCAGTTCAGAAATCGCAGAGCACCGCCGTCCCTGCACCGGTAAATTTAAAGCGTCAACCTGTTTTATTGCATGACACGCGCCTTGTGATAACTGCTCACCGCGCATCACCACAGCCTTGCCCTTCTGCATTCCTGGTCAATTCCGGTCAGTTTAACCCTTAAAATTTGCGAGAAAAACAGTCACTTAGTGCGATATACGTTGGGTGACGTGGCGTACCCCTTTGGCTATTGACACATCTTTTACGAGGGGCAAGGAATGTCATGACTTAGTCGCCTCTAATGCTCATGGTTTGGACTACAGGGCTCGTTTGAGGAGGTTTTAGTTTCCGATAGGCTGAATGCTGAGATAGTGGGTCGTCTCGAAGAGCACAGAGCATTTCGACCATTGCATATGACGCCTGCATACGGCGCCGACTGTTATCATTGGGTGATTAGTTTTTCTTCTAAAGAATATATTTGAAATATTTGAAACGTGTTTATTTGTAGGTTGCTGTCGGTTTCCTTGTTACCGAAAGTTTTTAAACGCCCTCGAGTAAGCCCTCCACTGATGACAAACTAACATAATAAATGTATCGCGGCAAAGACAGATACAGTCGATTTATCTATCTTTCTTAAAAGAAAAGCGTTACCGCAAGTATGCACTTAGTGTTACCTTGTTTAATTTGCGTGAAAATTAATGCGCGAACCTGGAGTAAATCTTTCGGAACGAACCCCTCCAGGCATCCATCCATCCATCCATCAGCTACTGCCGAATAACCGCGTAATATTCACAATCCACCAACAGGCAGCCAGTAGCATATAATTATGTAGTAATTTACCGTAATAACAACACAAGTGGCCGAGGGATTTCAGCTCAAATAGTCATATCAAATTTTGCACCGTGACTGAAAATGTCTACTCTGAAAAATTTACCCCAAGTTGGCGCACCAATTTCCTCGGAAATAAAACAAGGCAAGTTGAAACTGGAGTTTATTTACCAGAAAACACACGGGAAAGCTGGGGAACCCACTGATGAGCCAAACCCCTCGCAGCGGCATAAGATCGGCGAAACACGCGTGTCTGGGCTTTTAGCTAATACCTGTGTTGTAAGTAGGTAAATAATTACACAATTATGTACTTAGTGTGTTTGAACGCTTATAATTCTGAAACATCGATCTATGTTTCGTTTCAAAACAGGTTCTAGTTTTGGTTATTTATGATAATGCTTTATTTTAATATTAAACGGTTGATGGTTATTTATGCCTTGATGATCACTTATAGCATCTTTTCTTTCAGATATCTCCACAGGAAGACGGATAGCCCGGGAACCGACTACATTCCTATTCAAATAACCATCTGGAAACGCTTGCCGGACGGAAAGCGTCAGTTAGTCCAACGAGAATCCAAGTATCTACCGGTAAAAATCGCTGGAGCGCGACCACTGACACCGCCGACCATTCGCGTTTTCCGTCAGGTTAGTAGTAACCTCAGCTAGAGACCTTCAAGCCCGTAAGCGGACTTTATTCCCCATTTTAAATACACACCGACTCACATTGTCAGAAACGAACGGAGATAGAAGAGGACAGACAGCGCAGATGAAAGACAGTTCGACCGCCGGTTTCGACGATGTTCACCGCGTGCTCCACAGCTGGATGAAAACAGGCAAGGTGACTCGCACGTGAATTAGTCTGTAGTTATAGCAGGATTGCGCAGCATCTACCGCACTCTCTCCTCCCCCACACCTGGATCCGGTGTTGAAACGAAGTCAGAAAAACCGGAGGCGGATGAGGGGGCAGGTGGCTACCACGGCACAAATCCGCACCTAGGTCTGCCATCACTTGGTGCAAAACGAACAACGGCCAGGATTTTATGTGACGAGAGAAATAAAGAGCGACAGGGATCCCAGTTGGCGTGACGTGAGACGGCAACTGGGCCCGTCGGCACACCCCTAGTGTTGGCATTTGGTGTGGGCATACATTCCCAGAAACGCCAGCCGGAAACCGATATGGGCCCTGTGTAGGTCCAGAGCGTCTGCTGCGTGACACGTTTTAGGGGGGCAAAGAAAGCACAGACAATGCAGACATGGGATTGTCACGCGGCCCCATGGCAATTCGACCGTCACGAGCTACGGTGTCCACCCTTGCCCCCACGAAGTGGGCCTAACAGTGGGGGCTTGTGTGTGAATTATTTCACGGTGAGGCAGACTTGCACAGCGTCCAACACACTCATTTCCACCCCATTCACCCTGCACTAATGGTGAGACGAAGTAGAGACGACCGAAGGTGGGCGCGGACGCCTTGGCGGACAAAGATATACAGTCTGTCTACGCGTGCCACACACGAGCTGGTCATCACATGTCTAGAAACAACTGATCGGCAAAACGTCCTGTAACTTGCGGCCATTCGCGATGAGGGCGTATGGATTGATGACTTCAGTGCGACCTGACCTTTCGACCATCATAAACGACTTTGTCCAGCACGTGTCCAATAGTATCGTGAGCACGGGACAGTGAATTGCATGTGAGTTAGTTTCTAATGCTAGCGGACTTGCGCTGTATTTATCGCACTCACTCCTCCTCGCCTACCTCTGCTCGGTGTCAAGAAGACCGGAGGCAAATAGAAGGCGAAAAGGGCCGGCGCGGTGGAAACCCGCGCCTAGGTGTGCCACCACACTCACTGACCCACGCGCAAAAGACCAGGATCTCACACAAGAAAAAGAGAGTAAGTGACTCGGATTCCAAATAAAAGATGAGGCAAATGCACTCACCTTGTAACGATCAAGACTCCTTATTCAGTTCCCATCCCAAACTGAGCTTTTGCTTCCATGGCCTCTCGACATACAGTCAAATTATCGAATACGTTTTGGCGTCAGTGGTTAATTTTGAACATAGATCTTATTTTTATGGGAAACACTTGACGGAAAAAGTTATTGTGAAGTACGCTCACGCTTATTTAACATTCCTAAGCCAAGGAGCTAGACAGAGCGGATTTCCGTGGATAATTTTTGTTTTAGATCCGTTTTCAGTTGTTTACTTGCTCGGAAACTGCAAACCAACCGTTATTGGAAGAGAGAGAATTTTGAGTCACGATTTGGAACGAAATTCCAGGGCAGATTTATCCCTTTTATTTGTTAAACAACCAGTCACGGCCTTTATATAACGGTTGGCGGAAATTTGCATGTTGTTAATCAACCTTGGACCACGGCAAGCCCATTTCCACTCTCGTCTCGCCTATGTTTTAAACTTACCTTTATCGATTTTCCAGTCACTGACACGTTTATTGTATCCCGTTCCCACATAATTGTATTGGCCAGAGGAGAATTTATAGAAAGCAACGGACGCCTGCCAACTCGTCTTCTTAATACGGCTATGGAATTTTCGCAACTCTAGAGCTATTTCACCACACATTGAAGGGAGTAAGAGGAGGAAAATAACCAGATGCCAATTTTCGTCACTTTTATAAGCAGAACCTGGAGACAAGGGTATAGAGAGGTAGCCAGCAGAGAACTCGAACATCAACGCCACCGACAATATGGTGTTCTCTGTCAAGGGCGTTTCAGAAGCGACCGGGCGCCTTGCTGCGGAGCTAGGTTTTGAAATTGCACACCGCCCCAAAGCCACCATGCGCAACAAGATCATGAAAATCAAAGACCGGTTAAAGCCTGGAGAGCAATATGGAGTAGTGTATCGCATTCCGTGTCAAAATTGTCCTTCAACCTACACAGGACAGACTGGACGCATGCTCGGATAGCGCATACACGAAAATAAGCTGGCTGTGCGACGAGGCGACGCATTATCAAAAGTGGCCGTCCACACCTACGAAATGGGTCACGGGTTTAACTTCGCAGCCACCAAAATAGTCACCCAACCCGGAGACAAAACAGGCCGAGAATTGCTTGAAGCCTGGGCCTCGGCCAATCGATTTATCGATCTGGCGCCGGCGTTCAGATCCTTGCGTAGTCACCTCCAGTCTTGCGTCGTCGGTCGATGATTGGCATACGTGCTGCATAACTGTCGTTTGTTCTGCTGCTGCTGCTGCTACGTCTGACGATGGACTCCTGTACGAGTCTGAAAGCTCAGGACAGTAAACAAAGTGTTCGGGTGCTCGAATCTTCTCCTTCATTTACGTATGCACCGTGAACTCGAAATTTCTCCTTCATACAGAGGTAGTTAACGCGCGGCGAATCCAGAATAAAAACAGCAATTTGCTCTTATCCTACAAACTTAACCGAGTGCGAACCCTCCAGAAGAGAGTGAAACGACACAGTTGCGAGGTAAAAAGCAAAGTGAATAAGTCAAACAAAACAGACCATACAGAACAGGCAGAGAATTGATACGGAAAAAATGAAAAAACTAACGAATGCTGCCATATATTGATAGTAGTATGTTTGAAGTCACCGACCTCCTGGAAGTGTCATAAACGCCCAGTCTAAAGTCATATAACAGCGACAGATTCTGGGATCGATGCGCACTCAGTCTCAGGCTAAACTTATACATTGCCCGTCGGCTTCGATGCGACTTATACCAAGTAAATTAGGTCACGGAGACTTGTGGGCAACTACAGATATGAATGAATAACATGCACGAGTGGCGAAAATGTTGTTAGCGGCAAGAGGATAAGATAGCTGGTCAAGGGAACGACTGCAGGACCAGGGAGACGCCGAAAACTTGACACACAAGAACTAATCTCCATACATTGTCGCGTGACTATCCTTATGGCGCAACAGCCCTTACGAACCTGGCCGCTGAATTAAAGGCAAGTAGTATACGGATGCGGGAACAATGTTATCTCAAGCAACAGGGCGGCAATGCGTAAGGCAGACGTCGGTGATAACTATACTGCGAAGGTCGGCAGCTCTTCCAGGACAAGGCTGACCGCTGAAGTGCCAGGCAAGAACACAGATGCGGGAGGACGCTTGCCCAACAGCCAGAGTGATCGTAAACACCGTTTACTGCGGCGTCTGATCCCTCCTTCCCAAAGATGGAAGTTTGTTCGTTTCTTAAACGTCGGGGAAGTTAATGCATATGGGCGGGTAACTTGACCCAAATGTGATTAAACCCTCGTCGTCCGACGGGGCCTCGTAGCTCAAGTGGTTAGAGCGTTGGCTGTGCTAAAGCCTCCCCCTTGCTGCGTGGGTTCAAATCCCACCGAGGCGCCGAGTTTTTCACAGTCGGGTCAATATGAATCATACGAAATCTGCCATAACATCTATGAATATTTTCGGTATTGTCAACCGCCGCCGCCGCCGCCGCCGCTGCCGCCGCTGCCGCCGCCGCCACCACCACCACCACCCCCATCACCACCACCACCACCACCACCACCACC